CAGGCACTCCGTGTACTTTGTGTGCAAAGAGCTTATTTGCTCTTCGGTGGGATTGAAGCACTGGTTGACGCGAATAGGTTTACCGACTGAAATAGCACAATTAACCAATACACAACGCAAAGCTGCTTCTGCAGCGATGCAACCATACCAACCGTGTATAGCGGCCGCCGAAACGGCAGCAATCCGAAGGTGTAGTTGAAAATACCTCGTCCAAATATGATCGGGGGAGACCAGCCAAAAAACTGTTTAAATTTCACCTGCAAACCACGTCAGTGAACGACGCTACGTGCAGCGTTATACCTGAAGATAGCGAAGAAACGAGCCTTCCGGATTTCTGTACTGAAAATAGACGTCATTCTCCCCGAAACAGAAGACGGGCACAAGATCGGCCCTAGAATCAACCAAGGGTCAGTCGGTCATTTAACTGAAAACGAGAACGCGCGATGATCATCGACCCTTACCCGTAAACAAGCGCAGCGCGAACGAAGCCGTGACGGTTGCTCAGCACCACCGTATGGCTGCCCGGATGCGCATTCAAAGCTTCGATGGCGCCGCCGATGACAATCACTACGGCCTGTCCGGGGACCGGCCTCTGTAATATCCATTTGATGCTTTCCCTGCTCACTGCTACGCATCCTGAAATTGATTATGGCGGTAATCACACGCGTTTCACATCAACTGACATATGACAACAGCAATCAAGCACTGCTAAAGGAGCTTTAAAAAAAATAACCGCTAAGACGCAATGGAGCAATAGCTTGTCCCATTTCTTAAACGAGACAAAAAGTCATTGCTGTAAACATGCATGTTAAAAAGGCAGGCTGAGAAGCAATGTAAAAAGCTGCGGTACGCAACAGACATACAACGGCTGTAAAGCCTGTTGCGTCTGACAAGCAATACAGTCTTAAGCGCAAAAAACTCGCCCGTCACTGCAGAAACACTAGAAAGGAATTTCTATAACTTGGACAAACACCCGTCATTGTTACTGCCGCTCTTGGTTGTAAACGACTACATCTGGGGGACATTAAGCACTTCCAGATGTTTTGAACTGAAGCAAAACTTGCCACTTAATCAGATGACTTTTCCAAGTACTCAGTCGGCCAATGGGTAAAAGACGACAGTATCTGACACCGCCAGCAAGAACCAAATCGTGTCAGTTTACCATATTTTATATGACCGC